AATGTGTTAAAATTTTACTTAAAATAAGTTTCGAGAGTATGGAAGCAAGGTTGTGTACACAGCACCACTATTTTTTTTTACTATAACATGTATTGATGAATATAGTTTAAAAAATATTTTTATATACTTATATATATTTTTTAAATATGCTCATTGAAAATTTCTGTTCATGCCACTGAACAAGTATGTTAAATTATTTATTAAAAATAAATACCACAAAAGTGGTAAATATAAAAACTTAAATATTATGTTTTGTACATATATTTGAATAAGATGTATTTTAAAATAAAAAAGTAATTAATACATAATTTGACTGAATATAAAATAATAATTAGGTGCCTTTATTTATTTATTTATTATATATTCACAAGACAATAATACATTAAACAAATACAGTACAATTTGTCTCTTAGGAAGCAACAATGTTTTTATGTTGTTTTGCAGTTCGAATAACAAAAAAAAGCAACTTAATTTAACTAAAAATGTTAAAATAATYATAAAATGTACTAATGTACCATCAAGTACACAGAAACCAATTTTTTTGCCCTCCTGTAAAGTTGATAAAACTTGGATAGATGGTGTGTTTAAAATATAATAATGTGTGAATAAACTACCTAGTTTACCTATATACTATATAGTGCTTTACTWTAAGACAAACATTCACGTCCTCTTAGATAAGGATGGCGGCCATTTTACTCGGCTGTCTATTATCTTTGGTATCACTAAAAAAATCACAGATTTAGTGAAGTTCTGTGGTATCACCAGACCTTATCTTCTCTACATTGTGTAATCACAGGAAACAAATCGTTAAAACTTAAAATTTAAATTGTTGTCAACTTGTTTTATTATAGTCATTAGTCAATAATAATTATTGTCAATTATTTTTTTACATAATAGTTAATACTGTTTTTAATTTTGTATTTACTATTTACTAATTATAGTTTTCAACTTATTTCGAGTTTTGGAGTGTGTTTTAACTTCGTGTGTTGACTCGATTCATTTTAACTTTTAACTATTAATAAAAAATTTGATTCAAAATATTTTAGAATTTAATATAAACGTAGTAGTAACTGTTACACTTCATTTAATGTTTTTAAAGATTTATATTTATAGTTGCATATAAAATGTAAAAAGCTTTTGTGTACATTTTTGAACTGCTCTCCTTTTAAAATGGGTGTAAAAAATCTATGGTCGCTGTTAACACCAGTGGCAGAAAAAATGCCACTTTGGGAGTTGGATGGCAAGACAGTTGGCATAGATTTAAGTGGATGGGTATGCGACAGTGAAAATTTAAATCACAACATAAGCCAAAAAAACATGTACTTGAGGTAAACTCTAAATAATATTAATTATGTATACTGTAAAACCTTTCTGTAACAGAACACTTGGAACCAAACATTTTTTTATTATACAGAGTTTTTCGTCATAGAGAGGTAGAAATTGCATATATAATTTACACTGGGACTATTAACATTTTCCATTATAAGGAGGATTCCGTTTAATAAAGGGTCTGTTATAGAGAAGTTTTCTGTATAATATGTTTTATGAGTATGTACCTACAGTTAATTCATCTATAACATAAATCATAATAATTTATAAGCATCAAATACCTATCAACCTCATTAATTTTTCCTAATTACTTTATTTCTTCAAATATTGGTTTCAGTTCAATAAATTATTCCAATATTTCTGTTTCATTTATCGATCTATTAACTCGGTAGTTAAATTTGTTAAGTATGTTGAGACTATGGTTCCATTGTAGTTCAATGATATTGTCTTGCTATGTATCAAAAAATTTCAAAATGTATCATACAATTAATTCTCACCCAATAATCAAAGACCTAATTTTCCCCTTAAAAATTAGGACTAGTGTTTAATAGTTTAAAATAATTTATTATCACTGGTTCCATTCAAAAATGTTTTCAAATCTCTATAGTTTAGGTTCTAACTAAATATTTGTCTCCACTATTTAGAGCAAAGAATTATTTAGCACCATTACCTATTCCCCAAGCCTCTTTTCAATTTATATTTTTCTATTTATTTATTATAAGCATATTTTTTTATTTTTTTTTTCAGGAACTTATTTTTTCGTACTTGTACTTTGTTGTTAATTGGCACCATACCAATATTTGTTTTGGATGGAGAACCACCACTTTTAAAATATGGTGCTATAGAAAAACGTATTAATGGAAATAAAGCACCAATAAAGACTAATATTGTTCGTAAACGACTAAATTCTTTACAAAAACAAGTAAGTTTTGATCGAGGTTTTGATTTAATGATTGGATATAAATAAAATATGTTAAACAGGTTCAGTGGTTATAAAAACTAGTATTCTAACTTATAGTGGAAGATTCATAATAAAAATATTTAAATATATTTTGATTTGGTAGAACCAGTGGTGGTCAAATTATTTTGTCATGGGGATGGGGGAATATGACTAATTTTAGCTTGCACTATTTAATTTAAAAAAAAAAATGATTTATTGGTAGATATTTAGATATGTAACATTAATAAAAGGTTCCCGTTTGACTACCACTGGGCAGAACACTAGAACCCTCATTGAGTTATAATTGTGGAATTTTAGATTCTGAGCGGAGCGATGAATGTATTGATTTTACCATGATGTGTGTTTTTTTTTTTTTGTGTGTGTCTGTCGTCATGTTTTGGGGCAGTAAAAGTAAAGTGCTTCGATTTTTGACTTCAGTACCTCGTTCGATCAGAAAGTGAATCTAGTTGGTACTTTAGGGGGTCAAAAGTGAAAAATTCTTAAGACAACGCCACAACCGTAAGTGTTGTCTCCGTCGTACAAGTGCGTAGCATAGCAAATTGTACGCTCAGCAGATCACGATTATCTCCGTTAATTTAAAATTTAGAGTGAATTGACTYATTATAAAAATTAAAGGCAAGATTATTACCGAGGGCATCTCATAGGCTTTTTATTATATTTTAATTTTAAACCGAGTTATGAGTATTTTTAGATATAAAAATAATTTACAATTTTAAAATACTCATAACTCAGTATAAAATAAAAATAAAATAAAAAGCTTATGAGAT